AGAGTAAATAAATAAAATAAATAGAAATCGGGTTGTCCTTCTTCTGCTGGCTGTGGCATGACCGCGCGGTGTGGCTCTCAGCCTGCAAAGCCGGAATTAAAAGCTAGCTCAGTTGCTTAGCGCTGGGTGGGTAGCGGGCAGGTTGCACCTAAGCAAAACGAAAGTAATGTTTCGAGGAGCCTGCGACTATTTGTTTGGAGGAAGGTGCGCGTCCTGCCAAGATTAGAGCAGCAGCTGCAGTTTCTTGCCGGCTAAGGTCCACTCTGGCGGAAGATTACGTGCTCTCTTTATAGCCGTCGTCCACCGTAGCCTAGACTATAAGACTGCCGTAGAACTAGACATGAAGTTACCAGCTCCTCGGAAGCTTCAGAGAGTGCAAGTCCAGTTATGCATTTCCTTAGCACCGTGGACCAAACGCCTGAACAGCATGGTTAGCTACTGAAAGCGCAGTTAAGCTGTCCTGTGTTCCTTATCCTGTCTCTCTGCAAGATTTGTGAAACAACTTGAGATGCTTGCCCTTAGTCTGAAAGTTTTCAACAGTCTAGATCGAGACTATTGTTGAGAGTTCAGGGATTCGGACTCTGGCAGACAGTTGCATTTGTCAAACACAGTGGAGCTGCCCTCCACACAATTGAAGTTTATGCAAGAGATTAAGCTGCCTTGATCACACTGGATCTCAGGACCGTCTTGAACTTCGCTCTCCATTGCAAGTACAGTGTGCAGGCATTTTATCTCAGCTTGGGTACTAAAAACATATAGCAGAGCAAAAATTCCACCTTGAATCAAAACAAAAAAAAAAAATCACTCCTCCCTTCCTCTCCCTCTCTCCTGAGACAAAATCTAAGTCTAATCCAAAAGGAAGAAACAACAACAACAATAAAATGTTTATAATTCCAATCCAAAAAAACAGTCCTAAACCCAAGCCTTTTGCAATACTACATCTTTCAAAAGCAAATCATAGGTGAAAAATACAGATCATGGTGTTTAATAACTCTTGTGATGCTCTTGGAAATTGTGAGCATGAGGGCAGCAGCAAAACCTGAATAGAACCGAACAAAATAGAAAATAAACTTCCAACACCAACTTCCTCTAGGGCCGTAAACAAATCACATTGATTCCTTTTGTCTTATATCCTATATCCATGATATACAAATAGTGCAAAAGTGTTTATCTGAATCAGAGCTTCGCCACATCCTTACTGAAGTCAGTGGCAGCAGAATCAGTCTTTATTTTATCCAGTGGATCCCTTTGTAACATACTCTCCATTTTAATATCCATTTCATTCTGAAAATGATGTTAGCACAATAATCATATATGACTTAAACAGTACAGTATTAGGGTACTAACAAAGGTATATTTATTATTCACTAATCTCTAGGGTTTTGAAACCACTTTGTGTGTACTGCCCTTATAAATTGTTTATATCTTTACCATTCAATTCTACCACAAATAGAACAGAGTACAGCATATACAGTTCAGAGCAAACCTTTGTAATTTAAGAGAGAAATCAAACTACAAAGTCCTATACTAAATTCTCACCTCTGTACACTGTTCTGCAGATTGTTCAACATGAAAAGTGCCCCTAAACTATATCGTATCTAAGTTAGTTTAGTTGGACATGACAGATGCTTTTAGTTGACTCACGTCTGCTCTAATTTTACTCATTTCAACAGAGAAATATCGATTCCATTGGATTTCAGTGGAGGTTTGCCCCGATTTCTGTGGAGCTTGTATTTCATAGACTGCTTATAATCTTGGTTTTAGCAAATCAGTAGTCTTGTGAAGAATGAGTCTGAAGTCCCTATTAAATTCTATCTTCTTTTTTTTTTTTTTTTTCTGGTATCTCGTTTTATCTTCCTTTCCTCTTATTCTGTTGAAATTACTGACCTATTACCATACCCTCCTTCTTAATCATCCCAGCCACTGTGTTTCCCTGAGGCTTCTAACAGAACCAGCTATGCCTCTACCACTACAGCATGCAGGCTTTCATTATGCCTGATACATTCATTTTATTTTATTAAAACCACAGGTATAACAGCAGAAGTAAAAATTTTCTGGGGCAGCTTGTACTTGTAGAGTATTTTATTTTGGTAGACATCAGCAATGTGTCATAAGTCTACAAGGCTTCTTAAAGACTAATATGTCTAACAAATAAGGTATTTAAAGACATATACTCCAGGCATGTATGGGATATGGAATGAAGGGAGGGAAGGCGGAGGCAGTGCAGAACAGAGACAAAATTAGCACATTCATTTTACCTTTTTTTTTCCCCCTGTTAGCCACTTTCAAAGTCCCAGGAAAACATTCACTGATTTCATTAGACTTCTATACTCAGGCACATTTTCTGTAGATGTGTAAGATGTTAGCAGTTTTCTATCCCAATTCCTTTTGATCACATTTAGCCAAACATGTCATTTTAACTTGCATTTTACTATGTCAAATCTTATTATCACTGAATATATCCATATTTTCCTATAACATTGCTCTGCCCACAGTTGTACCACATCCAAGAGTCTGGTTATAATTAGCCAATAAGAAGGAACAAGTAGGAGCATTTCTGTGGGATTGCCTCAGGTGAGTTACAAAGCACAAGACTGATATCAAGCGACAAGCCATTACAGAAGTGCCATGGTTATTTATAAATGCATTAGAAGGAATATATTATTGTTATGGTAAAATAGGCTATTTAACTTTATTAAGGTGGACATAACTGGTATTGATACGCAATTGAATTTTTTTTTTTTTTTTTTTTTTTGTGGGCAGTGTTCTAGATGGAAATGTTTCTAGGGGAATCAGTGAGGACTATCACTTCTGAGATATTCACTCAGAGATATCACTTCAAATATTCTTTTTAGCATAGCTGACAACCCTGAATGACTTTTACAAGAGACGGAGATGCAGATACATATTATCCCCTCAACCTAGCAAAAATCTGTCTCTTTGTTCTAGTCTGTAGTTCTACTGAGCAGGGTGGCAGTCTGAGATTGCCCAATGCTCATTCAGCTGACAAACTTCTTAATACTTTAGTCAGTGTGACCCTTTGAGCAGGTGTTTTTCAGTGATGAAACTCAGTGGAACTGAATGAAAGCAGTGGTATTAGCATTGATTCCTATTCACAGTAAAACTGAAAAAGGCACAAGTGAGTACTAACAGACTGCTCTGAAGTGTTTAAACTGCGTGACAGTCAGGGCAGGTAAAGGAGATACTTTTAACTATATTAGAAATAGAAACCTTCTATTGCTTCACTGCTTAGCAAGGAAAATAGCCCACATCCTGAACTTCCTGTACAGGATAGTGGATTACAGTGTGAAAGACTCTATGAATATTGGATAATGACCTAGCGTGCAGCAGTGCTGAGCATCTGGTGTTCCCATTTATACCGAAAGCTGTGATCATTCCACGTCGCTGCAGATCAGACCTAGCGTAACCATCCACTTCTTGGCACAGAGCATGAGAGGGGCCTTGCCACTGCTTTCTCTGATGACACCAAGAAATAGTCAAAAACCTTAGGTCGGATAAAGGAGCAGCAGAACTGGAAACGAATGAGTCTTTGGAGTCTGCAACGGTCAAAGCTCCACTCATGCCTTCAAGGGTTGATTCCTTGTGTGAGAAAGCTCTAGGGCTTTGCTCAGCAGTCTTTCAGGAGTAAAATCTTGCCACAGACATAACACCTTTATGTGGGAGTAGCTAATGTGTAAAATGGTTTCTAAATTCAAGAAAAGATACCCCACAAGGCAAAGCAGTGTTTGATAGGAAGGGTGACAGAGGTGGATGTGATTTTCCTTTCTAGTCAGCTCAGCATCTGTTGGAGACTAGGACTGCAGTGTGAGTTATCACAGATTTGAGTTGTCAAACATTGGAAAAGAAAAGAAACTTGGCCAAAAGCTTCCCACAGTTCTCGAACCAATTACATTTGATAGATTTTACCACCTTCATCCTTAAATTCTTTTCAGGTTTCATAAAAATACAGGTTTTTTTGGTTATGATGTTTTGCATATGTCTTCATACTTCTCTTTTTCCCTGGAAAAGTAGCCAAAAGATTCCAGCACTGGGAAGGATTACCTTCAATGTTTTCTAGTCTGATCACAACCGCATTCTCTAAAGGAAAACCAATTTAAAGTTTATTAACTAAGCAAAAGCTTCTAAAAGCAATTAGAAAGGAAAGATTTAAGTCAGATTATATTCCAACTCATCTTTTTTACTAGTGGTTTTTACACTGTATTACACAGTGCATTAGCATTTATTTTCATTGACTTATAGTGGCAGGCTTAAAATAATATTTCTTTTGTTTTGTACAAGCCAAAGCACAGGCTGAGGTACAGCGCTAATATGCTACAGCTAAAAATTACTAATATCATAAGTCTTTCTTTATGGTCCTTATCATGTTAGTTCAGGGACTGCATCCTAGCTTCTGCCAGGTTACTGGCTACACTCTGCCTGCAAGTTATGAGGGTCTCATGAATATGTAGATGTTTCTGAGTCGACTTCTCGTTGACATTAAGCCATAGCTTCTGAGCTGAAGTGGCAGCCTGCTGACATCAGAAATCAGATCTGTGAGGAGCACGCTGCTCCCAGCAATGGCTCACACAGCACATTAAAGAAGTCCTGCAATATGCCAGATAGTTATCAGACATGGAGGCGCGTGCCTATCAGGCTCCATGTAGGCTGCTGAGTGTCTTGCAGTTCCTCTCAGCCAGCTAGCCACCGGCTGCAATTCCATTTCGTTTTCTGAGACTGAAATGGTGAGATAGTGGATATAATGCTATACTATAGTCCATTTTCCCGTTACAACTGCAGCTCCGATAGCATTTTAGTTTCTCTTCTCTTGGTTCTTCTGAAATAAACATATATGTGCATATATTTCTTTGTCAGAGGAACTTGCTACCTTTGCTCTGAAATATATGTTACATATTGTAGTTTCACCTGAAGGTATTGGCTGCACAGGAAACACTTTGGCTTCCTTGACAATAAATTATTTTAAGTCTTCTAAGGACCGCATGCTGTCATCTTCCCTCAGTCTAGAAAGTAAAAATTCTTAATGAAATCTTAATCCCAGATCCCCAAACTCTAACTTATTTCTTGCTCACCAAAATTCTTAACAATGCCAAAGACCTTCCTGAACAAGGGATAAAAACAATTTGAACAAGTGAATTGACCTAGCTTCAGTGGGATTTAGTTCATTTTTTATGGTTACAATGAAAAGAAGATTGTTAAACCAAACAAATTAATATGTAGTCAACTTTTTTACATAATGGAAAAATATACTGGCTGTATCCTTCAGAACTCTTGTAGCTGATAGCTGTTTTATTGTTAACATTGTTACTGTCATTGCCCAACTCCCTACTGAGATAAGAGTTCATAAGGCTTTTTCTGTACAGGTCCAGTACAGACCTGTACAGCTCTGTCACTTTGACAGAGCTAAGCCCACTATGACAGCCGAATTTATTCAAAAGTTCATGCAAATAAAGATTTTTATTTAGTTTTTGAAAGCATTTTGTCATGCTGAAATCACACTTCTTTTTTGCTCAACATCTTTATGTAGTAGAAAGAGAGGGCTACTCATTAGAAAGGATGGGATTTGCTTGATCTAAGTTAAATACCTAAAAATCAGGTGTCTAATTCTGAGTTGGTCATTCCAGGCTCTTTTTCTTCCACAGAAATAGGCATTTTCAAAGCTGATTTATCTCATTCTAAGCTACGTGTCTAAAACAGGTCAGAGAAGTTGCTCTGCGGAGGGATCTGTTTCTCTCTACTGAATAAAAAGGCAGGCTAGAGTGAGTAGTTTGGATACAGTGTTTAAGTTGCAGCTGCTTAAAGGTAGGCTATGTGAAGCCTAATGTTGCTGGCAATAGTAGAAGCAGTTACCGTGTTGCATTACTTATAGAGAAAGAGATTTCTGAATGTTTAATCACAATAGTTACATTGCAGATGGGACTTTAGGCAATAATTGGTGATACACTTTGAGACCATGCTGTCAGATCCAAAGCCTCTAAATGTTGGAGGCTGGTAGGATACTTCTCACAGATTATCAATCAAGAACTATTTACAGATGTTACTGCAAAATCATTTTAGAGAATAATTGTATCTGATAGGAAAAGTGATCTGTCCCTAACATAGTTTCAGAAAGTCAAATTTCATTACATACATTATTTGTTACCAAATGACTAATAGCTTTATTCATCAGAAACCACTTGTTTCATATGCATACACTTTAACTCAGATAAGTGAAGAAAACTACATTACTTACAGTAAGATGATGTCTGAAATTTTTACCCACAATAAGATAGAACTTTCACTGGACAAATCTGAAATATTTTTTAAGTAGCATAGAAAAGTCAGGATTACAATTTGATTTCTTCCCTCTTTTCAGCACTGCACACCTCTAGGGCTCCACATAATAACCATTTAATTCAAGAAAGCAGAAACTCAGCGAGCAGTTTAATAAAAGTCAAAAGGCATTTCCTACAGCATAGAATAAAATTATCTAGTGTTTTACTTCTTCATATAGTAAATTTCTTCAGGGAAAAACCAATTTTATTTTTTTGTTGTTGCTAAAAATGGAATCGCATAATTCATGGAAAAATGAGCAGCATCTACAGAAGGGTAAAGCTTTTCTCCTCTTTATTCAGGATAATATGGAACTGTGAATGAAATAGCAATTAATGTAAATTTCTATTTCAAACATATTATTTTAGCAATGTACCTTCTCACTTGGAAATGTTAACAGTATACACATGAGGTTTGTTAGTGTTCCCTTGCTCTTTAGCGATATAAAAAAACTCCATTCCAACTGTCTAGCCAATGAACAAGAGCAAAGAACTGCTAGGTGGAATAACTTTTATATGGTAGATTGCACTTCTGGGACATCTCTTCAGAACTGATGTATGCCTAACTAGTATCTCTATGAATGGAATAGGTATTGTAAGTAAATTGACTGAGAAGAGCTTGCAGCAGAAAACAACAAAAACAAAACAAAACAAAACAGGAAGCAATCCAAGGAACTATAAAATAACAGAAGCTCAATATATTCTGATGTAAATTGTGTATATTGTGCTACAAACACACGAAAAAGTCCCTATTGTATCTACTGCATGTTATTATATTTAGTTTTCCATATAATGTCATTGAAATTAAAATAATTTTCTTGAAAGAATGTTTCATTCATAAGGTGTCTTTTTTATGTTTTAAAACTATTGAGAAATGTGCAGGTAGAGGAAAGAGTAAGAGATATATACCAACAGAATCTGTAGAAGAAGCTTCTTTATTTTTTATTTAGAAGAAACTTTTTTCTATTCCACATCTCAGTGTGATTTCAGACATGCATATGCATTCAAAAATGCACTGTCAGCTTTCTACACAGAGCTAGAGCTGATACTGAACAATATACAAAATGTGTAGAGTGCAATAAACAATGCTGAGGGTCCAACAAAAATCACAAACAGAGCCACACAGTCTTCAGTGGTGGCATCTACTGGTACTATAAATACAGGTGTTGGGTAAGTGGTTCAGCTGAAACACAGAGTGACTAGATGCGTACATGGGTGCAGTACTGAGACTGTGAAGACTAAGGAAAAGCTTTGCTGGCTCCACAATTAAATTTTTCTTCATGTTTGACTTTGAAGCAGAACTAACATCTTTCTATTAGAACCTTAATTATTTAATTAATCTATATTATGCCCATTCTCTTGGCAGAGGAGTTTTTTCTACAGCATTTTTGACATCTTTTGCAGAGGAGTTTTGGAATTTTCCTTAAGATTAAATACAATGTTTAACACTCAGACACCACCCCTCTCCTCCCCCAAAAACCCACCAACAACAGCTGACTCTCACTGAGAGTATAACGCATGGTCTGTTACTTCATTTCCCTGGTTCAGCAGATTCTCTTTCTGACTTCTAAACTTATTTCCTCGTGGGCCCAAGAAATCTGGTCCCAGCAAAATGAAGCAAGAAGGAAGAGCCATTTCCTGCGATTGCTCATGACTGAGATGGATGTTGGTGGGGTCTGGGTAGGTAAAGTGATACAGGAGATCTGTGAGTGGAAAGGTGTAACTTCTGAGATAACTAGAGGATCAATTAATTTAATCAATTACATTTCATTAATTTGCTTTCTGTTTTTGTCTTCAAACTCTTCATTAATGTTATTTAGATTTTCTGATACATCTAAAAACTACAGATGTTCAATTGTATTCAGACAAACCCATAGTATAATACATCGTAACAATATGCAATTGCTAGCTAAGACTGGCTGACTATTAAAAGAAAATACTAATGCACAGCTATCAAAACAAAGCAGTAATAAGCATGTGTTTGATGCATAACTGCACTTATCGTGAAAGACAAAAAGCTTTCCACAAACCCACCAGAGTCAAATGCTTGACTAAATACATTTACTATGTGTCTTGAGCTAACAGCTGCTAAACCTGCTGTCCAACCAGTTAGAAAATAGTATGATCTTCACTGAGATTTTCCTATTACAATTTGTTAATGATGTATTTTCACCTGAATTCTTGTGGATCGTTTCACAGTGTCTCAGGTCACCTACAGGAAAAATAAAAACAAAGTCCAACGACAGTTGGATATAG